CCAATCCTGCCGATGGAGACTTGCCCCCTAGAGCAGCATTCAGAGCCTCAAGCATCAGAGTGGGCCGGGGTACACGTACCACAATTGAGATAGATGATGAGGATGATGATCCGGTTCCTCTTGCACCGTCCAGGAGGTCTATTGACAGTGCCGGACCATCTCGGCGCCCCCATTCTGGAGCAGGCCTATCCCGCTCACAGTCCTCCCAGCCTATGCTGCGTTCCTTGGAGGAAGAGGTCGCGGATCTCCGCACCTCGGTGGATGGCCTACACATGCGGATGGATGCCATGTCGCAAAGGCAGTCTAGATCTGAGAGCCGGTTTATGCCCTGGTTACGTGCATTGGGGAGAGCTTGCCATGTAGACCCCAGCACCGTCTCCGACTCTGATTGAGTCTCAGGGAAGTCTTCTGACCCTTCTGCTCTTTACTTTCTTGATATGACATGGGGACATGCCATGATTTTAAGTGTGGGGTGGGAGACTTGCTCTGATTGTGTGTTGTAATGTATATAGACATTGTTGTGCTGGAGCAATAGATTGATGTGTTGTATATATTTGAGTGTGCTTATATTAGGAGTAGCTGACTTGGCCCAACGACGGACACTTGTCGACGGGTCTCTTGAGGGTCAAAATCGAAATTAATGTAAACTGAAAACAAGTTAGAGGACTCTTCCTGAGGACGGACCACTTGGACAGTAATCTTGAGGAAAGTAGTCCATGTAGAATTTTTTTTTTATTTTTTTTATTTTTTTTCTCTTCTAGGTAGTGTAATACTTCCCCCTTGGTTTTTCTTTTGACCACGGTTCTTTTCCAAGGGCTTTTCTTGAACGGGTTAGGTAAATTTTCCTTTTGTAGTTTTAGGACTAAGATGGGTGAAGGCTAGAATACAACCTCTGATATGCACACTTGCAAATAACTAAAATGAACTTGAGAGTGTGACGTCTAGTCTCGCTTGTGGACTCGTAAATCCATGCCTTAATGTTGCAAATCTTGTCTTGCTTGAATGCTCGTATTAGTGTGTTGATGAACTGATTCGGAATGAGTTGCATGCTAAGTGAGTGGGAGATATTACTTGCATTCTGTGCTTGCATGCGATACCTAGAACTTGCCCTGTGTGTTTGCAAAGCAAAATAGAAGTTGTTTGGTTTTAGAGATGATTGAGGCATTTCTTTGTGCAACCCTATATAATTGTGAATCCACCAGTATATATTGCCATAGTTAACCCCTTTGAGCCTGAAGCCTGTTCTTTGATAACCCTATAATGACCTAAATTTCTGTGTTGAATAACTTGATTGTTTGAACCTATACCTCCTAGAAGCGCTTGAATCACTAAAGAACATACAAAAGTCAAAGTGTGCGGTAGTAGGAAGTTAGAAAAAAAAAAGGAAATCAAGAATGAATTGTTTGATTGGTGCACAGGCATTGAAAAAAAATGAGACAAAGAAAACAAAATAAGAAAAAGAAAAAAAGAAGAAGTCAGTTGCACCTAAAGAAAAGTGGGGGTCACACGTGAAACAAAGATGTGGAAGAATGATTAGGTTGAGCATGGAAATTGAAATAAAAGGAAGAATGTGTTAAAAGTGCTTAGGGAGGTTAGTCACTATATCCAAATATATCCTACCCGTCCCTTAGCCTACATTACAACCAAATGAAGACCTCGTGATCTTTGACTGAACAACTCGATTAGTAGAGTATTACACTAGGGGCAAGCTTATGGTGTGTCTGTGTAGCATATGAATGCTCTTTGCTGAGAGTGAGTGAATTCTTTCTATCCTTGGTTCCTTATTGTCTGAATTTTGTGTGTGGGGAACTTCTCTTAGACTTGTGATGTGAGGGCATGTGACTCAGGATGAAAAAGTAAATCTTCACTTCTGTTAGAGTAACTAGAGTGAGCACGAGTGTGTCATGGCATGAGAGTCTGCATCTGAGGTATGATTGTTGCATTGCTTAGGTTGGTCCTTCGTAATGGCGAGTGTGGCATAAATTGGGGTAATGTATCAAATGGTTAGGCCAAGAAGTGTGGTTTAACTTGCTCGAGGACGAGCAAAGGTTTAAGTGTGGGGTGTTTGATAATAGGTGAATTTAACTATAATCACGCCTTAAATAATCACCTTCTTGTATAGTTTTGATGATAAAAGTGATAACAAAATGCTCTTATTAGTGCTTTTCATGATTTGCAGGTGATATATGACCAGGGAAGGCTAGGGAGTACTTTTGGAGTCAAGAATGAAGAAAAAGAGGCCAATTGTGAAATTCCCCAAGTAAACCACGCAAAACAGGCCTGAAGATTCAGAGAACTGGGTTGACCGCGGTTTGACCGCAACCGCGGCGGAAGCAGAAAACTTGAGGGACTAAAGTGTAAAACACGGGATTTTTAGACCTAAACCCTATTTTAAATACAAGACTTCGCCCAAGAGAGGCATGTATTGAATTTTAGAGTATCTTGGCAAGGAAAAACAATTGTGAGAGATCACCCAAAACATCTTTCTTCTTTTCTTTGATTTTTATTGCTAGTTATGATGAATTCTATCTTAGTTTGTTTTCCCATAGCCATGAGTAGCTAAATCCTTTGTCTAAGGCTTTTATGGAACCTATTGGGGGATGAACATCTTGTGTATGTGAATACAAATTGCTAGTTTCAATCTCTATTTGTTCAACTTTGTGCTTGTTGTAGTTAATTGACAGGATCCTCAATTAGTTGTGCCTATTTAGTGTGCATAACTTGGAAAAGAGTGCATATTTAGGTTATTGTTGAACAACACTACTCCCAAAGTATAAGAGGAATCTATAATTGCGGGTTTAAAGGCGGGATTAGGGATAACGAAGCCTTGGGTGTAATCTAAAGTGAATTGTGCGAAATAAAGTAAGCTAGTGTATCTCGGGAGAGTGCAATTAGTATATTACTGTGATTACTCGGGAGAGATTTACGGTAAGATGAGCGTTCATGATTGATAGAGATGTGTTGGTAAATTTGTATGAGCATAAACAGAAGGGACTCCTTCAATAGGGGAAATCATTGCCTTAGCTTCTTCTCATCATTGTTTACAACCTTAGCAATATAATTTACAGCTGTTTAATTTACTTGCAATCGTAGTAGTAAAGCGACCTTCAACTGTGATTCAAACATCTGGGAAACTGGTTCTGAAGAGTTTAGTGGGTCTAAAGATAGTGATTGATAGGTTAACTCTCTGTGGATTCGACCCTGGGCGTAATACTTGGGTTATATTTGCAACGTCCGCAGAGTCCTTTTTAGAGGGCATAGTTGGGTGTGATCATTGACCGTTTATATGAGTGGCCGGCACACACATATAAAGGAAACTCCACTGTACATGGCTTCATAGAATCCCTAAGAATCTTGAACCTAGTGCTCTGATACCAAGCTTTGTCACGCCCCGGACCTGGGCATGGACGTAACACGATACCCGGTGCCTAACTACATGCGACCGAGCGAACCAACTAGTTGGCTGAATCAACATGTGATATCATAACATACTAAATGCGGAAGATAAACTAACACATGCTGGTATATGAAAGTCTGGATGATATAAATCAAAGTGCGAAAATACTAATACAATTCTGAAACATATTTGTAGCCAACATAGCTTAATATGAAAAGCCTGCGACTCTGTCTAATTGTTACTCTAGTCTATGAAGCCTCTAATGAAGTACTAAAAACACTGACTGTCTGGAAATACTAAAGACTGTAAGGTAATGATAAATGCCCCAAAAGAAATGGGGATCACCAAATAGCTGGTACAAGAATCCTAGCGCTCTGAATCATCAATATGTAAATCATTACTAGCATCTTGAGATGCAGACCCCGAGCAAAGGGGACGTCAGTACATTTGAATTGCACTGGTATGTAAAGCAACTGAAAGAAAGAATTATAAATGTTGAAACTGAAACTAAGCTGATAACTGAGAATTGATAATTGATAACTGAAATGATAACTATTGAAAATGAAACTGAAATGATAACTGATAACTAATAACTGAAATGATAATTAATAATTGAACTGAACAAAGGAAGTAAGGATATGAATAATCCGTCTTCTGAATGATGAACAACCTGTTTATCTGAATAAGTTACGGCCTCGGGCCAAATATATATATGTACACAAGCTACGGCCTCGGGCCCAAAAATGCATAAAGCATAAACTACGGCCTCAGGCCCAAACATGCATAAAGCATAAACTACGGCCTCAGGCCCAAGTATGCATAAAGCATATAAACTACGGCCTCAGGCCCAAATACAGGTGTTCAACATTCAGGAACTGAGAATCATACTGAAATACATGATGCTGAAATATTGAACCATACTGAGTTACATGATACTTGAATGCTGAATAGAGCTAGACTGAGATATGTATTCATGAACTGATTATGAAAATTGAAACTTCAACTGTTTATGACATGCTGAGTAATCTATACTAAGACTCATGGGCATCAAACCCAAGTCTATATTGATTAAGCACTGATTTCACAACGTTTAGAATGAAAGTCATGAACGAGTTACGAAGCTAGAGAATAGAAGTTCTGCAACTATTCAAGGAACTAGGCTTAACTATATTTCTGGGGCAATTAGTAACGTGGTAAAAGAAACATAGTGTAGGGAGAATCATTAACATTCCCAAACATTGAGAGTTAGCCTCACATACCTTAACTTCCTGCTCTTGAGCGTAAAACAATATTCGTCAACCCTTTTAACTTTAATCTTTCTACTATATAGAAGAGAGAAGAATGGTCGACCAAGGACAAAATTGTCATTTAATCTGCCATACATGGGCAACATGATAAATTTGACTACTGGATGTCATAAAATGCTTGCTTTGACATGTCACATGCTCACTCAAATCAGCAGATGCCTCTTATTCTAACACATTCGATAAAGAGCAAAGATGGTCGACCAATGGCATCTTTGCAAATCTAGCTTTATTTAAGGACAAAATGGTAATTACGTCACAAGGGTTAAAATATAACTCTAGAAGGATCTCTTTTCTTTCTCATCTCTGACAAAAAAGAGCACCAACGTCCAACAACTAACTCTTTTCTTCATCTTCTCATCCAGGTATGCTTTCCTTTCAATTTTTCCTAAAATTTCTCTTTGTTGTCTTCGTTCTTTCCAATTTTTGGTCTACCTTTGTTATATTTGTGTTGATTATTGCCCGTTTCTTGAAGAACTCCAGTCTTTTTTGCTTCAATGTTGTTTCCTTAACAGTGTCTTTTTGCTTTTCTAATTTTATTAGGTTGTTCTCTCTGCATTTCCAACAGCAACTTCTTGTTTCTCTCTGTCTCCCTCTCCCTCTCCCTCTCAGGTAATTCTTGAAGCTAGCATATATACATCCTTCTTAGTTTTTGTCTTGCTATCATATTTGTGAGGAAGATTTCATTTCTCGTAAATAAGAGTTCTGTAATTGAACTATGATCAGATTTTGAAGAAGTGTAGCGAAAATTTAACAACAATTGCTTTTTTTTCTAATCATATCATGATTTCAATTTTATTTTATGTATTATATGCCATTAACTGGCATGTTAGTTTATTGGTCTGGTGTTAGAGAAAATTTGCTTATGCTCTCTCTTAAATTTTGTTTATAGGAGTTTGTCTTTACTAAACACTTAATCTTGATAAAACACTCCAGTCATAAGTTGTAGTATATTAGCATAACGAATAATAGCAGAAAGTGACAGCACTCTTAAAATCCATCAAACCTAAAAGTACTGACTTATAGCCAACGTCAAACTATTAGTTAAATTTATGAGTTACTTTAAGAATTGGGTTTTGTAAAACTTTGAGGCTGTTTCATCCTGTGCAAAAAAAGTTAAAAAGAAATTCCCTCTATATACTTTGTAAAACAATCTTGATGTTTAGAAATTTCCTTCTAAAATCGAGGAAATAAATTCATATCCAGAGGACTGTTGACGAACGAAAGGACTAAAAACCTGAGAATTTCAAGGTTTAAGGGTTGCCGATTGAACTGCTCTAATAGGTCCAATATGTATGCATTTTTCAAAATATTTTATAAATGTAGCTGTATTGAAGATACTCATTTGTCAACAATGAGTATTGTTGCTATAACTACAAAAGTCCATTTTCTTTTTTATTATATATTTGATTCTAGAAGCAACAATCGGAATTCCTTTTTATTTTTTCCCCTATATTCTCCCTCCCCCCCCCCCCCCCCCCCCAAACTTTAGTCTTTATCACACTCCAAATCTTTAATTACTAATTATTAAGGTAAAAAATTTCTTAAAGTTAACCGTGGTTAATTTGAAGAGAATGAAGGTGCAAGCTAAGATAGTTCATGCGATCCGACGTATTGGCCAAATTGCAAATACCTGATGGTTTGCATGACATAATTTGACATTTTTTGCCAAAAGTGAGCGATTAGATCTTCATAAATCTTTTTATTATTAATTATTTATTTATTTCTTATTTGAAATTGAGTGGTAGTTTTTGTTACCGTAATATTTTATGATATATAAAAAATTTACCGATATTTAATCTTTAAATGAATAATTTTAAGAAATAATGAAATCTTTCTTCCAATTTCTTGTTAAGAAGCTAGATGATCTTTAATAGCTTGACGGAAAAAATAAATTTCTAAACTTTACAAGGTTTATCGACGTTTCATATGTACCATTCTTATTTTTGTATCAGATGTCTTCTTAGTGATGTATGTCTACTCAGCAAATTAAAATATTACAGACTTGGAAAATCTATTAGAGATTTCATGAGCCTTTAACCTATTTCAGTGGAAGAGGCTTCCTCTTCTAGGGCAGAACTTAAACTATAGAGTTAGTATCAGTATTGTAACAGTGCTTCTGATACCTGATAGGTTGTTATTGACTAACCACATAGGTTTCTTCTTCATTAATTTTCACATGTGCTTAGACACCAAGTCACAAAACTTATAGGTAGTAACTTGCTCCTCTGCTTTAGCCACTTTCTTAATATCAACAAACAGACACGCTAAAGCAGCATTAGCATCAGTTTCCTTTTGAACATAAAACTCGCCATATAGCCACCCGTAATTTTTATTTAAATCATACATAGATCTTTTACAATTTAAGCTCCAGGATAAGCCTCCCACACCATTAGATGTCATATACCAAATTCCACACCATGACTTATGGTGCTTGATTTGTAATTCGTAGCTATCTGTTTGGTTATTTCTGCTTGTATCACTTGTTCATTTATGTGGAGTAACTAATAAACCAAGTACCAAGTTCTTTCTGGGACATGTATCTCTTGAAATATAAGCTCTTGAAGTCGAGCATCTTTATCGTACTGTTTTTAAATTAAGTGGAACGCCTAGAAAGTACTCTTTGTGTTACAGTAGAGATTTAGTGTTACAATAGAGAAAATAATAAATTGTGCCCAAATGTTTATCTGGTTATAGCTCATAAACTATTGGATCAATAATATGGTTGTTCCTGTATTACTATTATTTAACAGATGATTGGAATGCATGTTTATTCTAGGAACATCAGTGATAGTGTTAGATAGAGTTCCAACTAGCTAGATATTGCATTAGCGTATACTATATTTTTCCGTTCTTTCTTATTGCTCTTCACCTAAAAGTTTATATAATTTGCTTGGACTTTACTTTAAGTTTGTATTTCATTTAAATATTTGTGTGAAAATATAAGTGGTGGATTGATATAACATCTTAACATATTTGGAAGGGACTAATTCACTTGACCAATTGGTTAGTTCATAATTGTTTGATTTGTTCTACTTTTAGTACAGTACATGAAATGCACAAGGAGTATATAGTTCATGTATATTTTTAAATGTATCACATATATGCTATCGTTTAACATGTATGTCTTATGAACATGCTTCGGCTCAGTGTCTTGGCAGACACAAAATTTTTATTTATACAGGGGGTTATATTTATCTCTAAGATACCCTTTCATTGACGGATGATTAGTGTATTTTTTTGTCAGTCTTCCTTAAGGTAATGTACTTTAAATTAAACGGCTGATATAGAAGTTACTTACTTTTGCAGGAGGCTTCTGATATTTTTATCATACTACATATCCACAAATTTCCTGAAGTTACTACATTCTTGCCTTGCTCAACCAGTTCAAGCAAGTAAAGACACTTATTAAGACCAAGTAAGCATTAAAGCATATATTTGATGTATGAAGGAGTTGCATTACCTATTTATATGATTTTATCTATGATAACTTTGTCATGCACTAATTGTAGCTACTTACTAGCAGAAAATATTTCAAAAACTAAGTCATGAACAAATAGTGTCTTTAGTCTATCATTTTGTATGGTTTACCTTCGTGAATTTAATTTTATTGAGGAAGCGAGATTCATTTGTTCCTGAATACAAATTCTGAATATGTATGTTCTGAATAGTAGGTGGTCTTTAATGTTTGTCACTATTTACTAAGGATGGAATTGTGCTTCTGTATTAGTGAAAGTATGGTTATTCCAGGATATATATTCCTATTTAGGGTTTAAATCGTAGATGCAACTAAAGATTAGATATAAACTTTCTATATAAGTATTTGAAATGTTAGGCCCGTACTATGCACGGGCAAACCTCATCTAGTATATCAATACAAGTCAAAGGGATTCCATATTAGCAATAATACTCATGTTTTGGTTACTTAGGCATTTTCACAAACACTTGGTGGCATAAAGATTCATAGTCCGTATTAATGGTGTCTCTACACCCAATAACCCATTCTCTTGCTCCTAGATAAATTCTAAAGTGTCAAATGGTTATAATCAATATCATTCTTTATCACCCATAAGGTAAATAACACACTTAACCAATAATCAATAATCAACACCCCGAACCTATAACGGTTCATGCTTTTCTATCAAACTCATCAACTCATATCTCATGAACTAGAGTCAATAATCATTAGTCCAATGCTAGAATCAATTAGAGGGTGAAGACATTATCTTTTTGAAGTTCAATCCCCTTGAATTCGAGTTCTAGGGTTCCTTCTCTCAACAATGATGTCCCAATCGAACATCTAATGATGTGGAGGGTTTACCCATATTAATAAGATGTTGGAAAATTAAAATTAACTTAGAATCACCATTAGAACTTACCTTGGATGGTGGAGGAACCCTTAAGGAGTTAGGTTTTTGGGAGCTCCCCTTTCTAGAGCAAGTTTTTGTGTTTTGGGGGTGTGGGGGACAAAGTAGGGCTTTAAAATGACCCCCCAAGTGCGCCCCCGCGCACCTGACTGCGCAAAATGGCAGTAACACTGCCACAAGTGCGCGGCCGCACGCTGGGCGCGCACTGGGCGCGCATATTGTACACTATTCTGTAAAACGCACATAAGTTTTTATACATAGATCCGTTCAGGCTCCGTAATATACCATTGGAAAGCTATTTGAAAGACCTAAAACTTTGCTCTTTTGAGTTTTTCAAAATTCTTTACACATTTTCACTAACCACTGCCGGAAGACGGACCTTTTATAAACTTAGTCGATTTTATCGAATCTTATGCACCTCACTCTCCATCTTGATTCTTAAATAACTATTTTCACCAATAATCATCCATCTAGGACTTCATATGTCTAAAATATCAAATTAATACCCATTTAATATATCCACACCTAGTCCTAATATACAGGGTGTTACACGCACATGCCAAGCGACGGTCGTGCGGTCGTGCATCGTGAGAATTGTGACGTGGTTGATCCATGGCACTGTATAATGACTCTATCTTGTTGATATCCGTGTTTTTATCATGTGATAAAGTAATTGAGATGTCAATCATGTTAGATATCATATTTAGGATTTATGCCGGTACTGTAGGGACCCATAATGGTCGTTTTTTGCTGTCACCTTACTGATTTCGCTGATAGTTCGTACTCAATTATATTCATTCATTTTATATCATATCTCAGTCTCATTGTTATTTATTGATACATCATATCTTTATTTCAGGATAGTTATCATGACATTGTGAGCCCGTGAATAAGACTGGAGATATTGATGACTGAGTGAGGCCGAGAGCCTGATTATGAGTGACAGTTATGGGATCGGGTTGCACTCGCAGCGGTTATATTGATATTATGATAGCGTTTGGGCTGTAGGAGTCCCTCCGGAGTCTGTACACACCCCAAGTGAGCGCGGTTGATATTATTGAGGGATGGATTTTCCATGGACATGGATCTTGTCCGAAGTACTTGATACCTGGAGATGGATCTTCTCCATAAGGCTGGATTGGCCTTCCTCGGTACTGGGTGACTGGTGGTCAGTGATGTATATATCCCGGGATGGATCTTCCTTGTGCCGTATGGGCCATATACAGTACTGAGTGGCTGAGTATTTGAGAGTGTGAGCACATGAGGCTGACATCATGGTGAATCACATACAGCATGTGCATTGGCATGTAGTGATAGAATAGTTGTATTCTTTATATTGTTCGGATTTGATCTGCTTTATTGTTTTGAGCTGCCTATTTAATTTGAAAGCATGCCTACGCTTGTTATTTCTGTTGTTAACTGTATCGGTTGAGTTCGTCACTACCTTTCAGTCCAAAGATTGGATTTGTTACTTACTGAGTTGGTTGTACTCATGCTACTCCTTGCACCTCGTGTTCAGATCCAGGCGCTTCTGGTCACGGCGGCTGTTGATTGAGAGCCAGACTTTCGGAGACTATCGAGGTAGCTGCATGGCGTCGCTACCTTTCAGTCCAAAGCTGTTTTCGAAAGATGCTCAGCTCAACAAGACGAAAAGAGACAATATCAGTACCACCAACAGATATCATAGGAATAATAACAGTATCATAAAGACCAGAAAATAGATAAAAAGCAAAAACGATAGCCAATAAATTGACTCGGTACTGTAGAGAACGACAAAGTAATATGACACAATACAACATGCCTAGTTCGATACAACATGTTTACCTTTTGGAAAAAGTGGAATGTACTAAAGAAACAAAATAACATAGGCAATAAGGAAATTATGTCACTTTTGACTCGGACCAAAATTAGTGGATGATGATGGTTAAAGTGGAAATCCATGTGATGCAACTTCATATACTAGTATGGTAAGTCACTGTACATTAGAACAAGATTCTTTCATTTAAATATGTTAGCTCATCATTTTGAATTTATCCTTCTTTTAGAAATGAATGTTCAAGAGAATTTTAGTTGAACTTTCTTTTAGAAATAACACCAGGCAGTCACTATAAAAAGTTGTTATTTAAAAATTAGACAATATGTTATGAATCTTAATTTTTTATTTCAATATTTCGAGATTTAAATGTCGTGGACTGTTGTAAAATTAAGATTTTTAATTTAAAATTCAAGGAGAAATAAATAATGGCTAAATTCTAATTAGAAGCTATAAAAATGGTTGTTTGTGCACTTCCCTCAACTTCCTTTTGTAGCACGTTATTTAGTTACATGATGGATTGTGACCTATTTAATGAATTTACAATCGATTATATCGTAGGATAACCAATCAAATTTGGCGTGATTCACAAATTTAGTAATATTTACGCTTATTTAAGGAAAGTTTCTAAATCGAATAGGTTTAGTTAGAGTTATAATCAACTAATGTAAGATAATCAATTAACTTTGGTGTGATTCACATCACACTTATCAGAACCACATATAACATGCAAAAAGTGTTTCATAATTGAATTTATAGAAATAATACCAGGTAGTCGTTCTAAATGGTTGTTATTTAAAAATTAAATTTCACTTTTTTCAGTTTAACTTTTTGCCTCGAATTATCCTAAAATTAAGATTTTTAGTTTAAAATTTCAGGACAAAATAAATACTGGCAATTCTCTAATGGCATCCTAAAATGGTTGTTTGTGCACTTGCCCCGTTGAATTTCCACATTGGATCTCGCTTTGTATGTCTTGCAATTGTTTGGTACAATTGATGTTTTTGATAAAAAGTTTTATTGTCCCCTTTCCAATTGTCCTTTTCTTCCTTGTACTAAATATATTTCAATATTATTAGATTATCAACTCGAATTAAAGAAAAATACATTGGAAGACAACAGGATCACTATCAAACATATTTGAAAAGAAGCAGACCAACGTGCAGACTTTTTGGCAAATAAAGAACACAAATACAAAGGAAATGAAGTTTCTTCTCCTGACAATTCTAGTTGTGTGGCTTATGAAAGGTTTTAAAATTTTCGTTTAGTCAAATTTTCATCATACCATAATAAAATGGTCACACACAAATCTTTTCCATTTTACACTTATTGGGCCTTCATGGCCAGCCTAATAACTATAGTTTGCCTAATTACTATTCGTAACTACTATTTAATTGATACTAACTTGTATCACTTGTATTCAAACGCGCAACGAATACAGCATGTGTCAACTTTATTCGTTCGTGTAACGAATATAACGTGTATCAACTGTATACATTCGTGCAATTGTATTCATTCGTACAATGATCGTACAGTGAATACAACATGTATAAGCAGTATTCGTTCGCATAATCATATTCATTCGTGCAACGAATAAAATTGTATCAACTACAACCAAGGTGAAGTACAAGGGCGTATACAAATGATACAACATGTATCAACAGTATACATGGTGTATACAAAGAATACAACATGTATTGATTGTATTTGTTCGCGCGGCGAATACAACTAAGGCGAAATACAAAATACATAAAAATAAAATATTCTTGTTGAGAGTTGAATTTAGACCTCCGCTAACTATGCGGGCACTCTAACCAACTGAGCTATGAGAGCTTTTGTTGCTCTCTTGTTTCGGTTCAAAATAATTAGTCTTGTATTTCATGAATTTGCTATAAAATTTAAATATATCTATGAATGGTAAATTTACTGAAAGCATAGCTATGAATGGTAAATACAATACAAATGTGATGTGTCGCATAATTTTCCCAACTAAGAAAGCATCATGTTTAGATCTCTTATATGTAAAAGATAGATCTCTTATGTGTAAAAGTAAACCTCTCACATGTTAAAAAGAGATAAGTTCATAATACTAAAAATAAATTTTTAAAAATCCACAAACCATTTAACCTTGGTTCGATCCTTCAAAAAGAACCTAACAAAAAATAAAGGAATTTTTACTTCCTATAGCAAAGGTTAATACCTTATTTATTTTAAATAAATACTCTTTTAAAAAATTATATTCTATAGATACCTTTGATTTTTATAGCCAAATATCTATTTATGGTTACCTCCTACTCTTAAGCCATAAAATACTCTTTGTATTATTTTTCTCTCTCATTCTTTCAGATTTTTCTCCACCCTCTCTCTCTATCCCAACGCCAGTATTTCTCAGTCGAACACCGGCAACCACTATCCACGTTATGTCTTCAGCAGTCGAACACCGGCAACCAAACAATGTTTTCCTTGATTTCGTGGTTAATAGCAACCCATCATTCTGAATCAATTTCTTAGTTCTCAAATTGTGCAATAAGAATCTGGGTCGTATTTTATTTGTAACACCGGCAACCAAACAATGTTTTTCTTGATTTCGTGGTTAATAGCAACCCATCCTCACACTCTCCACAATCTCCATTGGGTCGTGTTTTCACTACCGGCTTCCGGTGAACGGCGGATTCGTCGGAAATTAGGGTTTGTTCTTGAACAAAGACGACGGAGTTTGGGGCTGAGCAACTTGATTTTCTGTTAATATATTTTAATGTATTTTCATGTATTCATTGTCTTTTTTTCATTGTAATTCAATGTATCTCGTTGTCTTCTATGTATTTCATTATATTCACTGTCTTTTTTTCATTGTATTTCAATGTATCCTGCTGTATTATATGTATTTTATTATATTCACTGTCTCGCTATATGCCATAAATGTATTCATATGTTTTTTTTAATTAATATAATTTATGTATTCAGATGTATTATACAATTTCTCTGAAGATTGCTATGTTTTTGGGGTATTTTTTGGTTGAGAATCTTCTTTATAACTGAAAATACAAAATTTGTGTGTTATAATTGAGTTTGTTGAGTTATATTAGGAGTTTATTATGTTAATTGATTCACTTTCCATTTTAAAAACAGTGTAATCCCCTATTTCACGCCGTGAATATAGTCGAATACAGTTGAATACAATAATCTGTCCAGCTGTAATCCCATGTTTCACTCCATGAATACAGTCGAATACACTCGAATACAACAACTGATTAGCTGGACTTCCCAGATTCACGCCTATTTTTGCTACTGTATTCATGAATACAATAGCTTAAATACATCAAATACATCTTATAACCACACAAAAGGTATTTATAATCCGTAATATAGCAAATGGTATCTATAGATGGCTAATTACTACCAAAAGATAGTGCTTTATGAAAATTTCTCTTTGTATAAACATATATTGGTCTAAGATCACTATTTGCTTTCAACTATATTAGGCCCATTAGGATCAAATGAGGGCCACTCCTAACTTGTAAACGCTTGATCAGCAGTTCCATCCGGGCCCATATATGCAAACATGTGAGATGGGCTAAATTCTAGATTTGCTTTAACAATTGGGCCAAGTTGTCCATGTCCAATTACGAATTAAAGTAAAAAAGCACGGGTTAGCCAGTTTTCGGACCGGCCATTCAAAAATATTCAGCATTTGCTGAAAAATAGCCACTATTTTGCTGCAACATGGAAAGTTCCAGCATAATATACTGCAGATCGGTGCACCTGTGTATGAATTTCTAGCATATTATGCTGAAACTCCAACACGCGAAAAGTGCCAGCATAATATACTGGAGAATGAAGCACCTGTGTATGAACTTCCAGCATATTATGCTGGACCGGTATAATATACTGGAACCCCAGTATATTATGCTGGAGTATTTTCCGGATTTTGAACAATATTTTCATTCAGATTTATCTTTATATTGAAAGTGGCTAAATTTCGATTACTTTGAAACTGTGGCTATTTATGAATGATCACTTGCAAATCTAGCTATTTTGAATTTCTAGCATGTGGAACTTTGAAAAATTACTATTGTTTGGAGGCTT